AGATCTTTCAAGCAAACGTGGGGGAAATCCCGGCCGCCCACGATTGCACATCCTTGCCGATCAGAAACGACCTGCAAGCACCCCTGACATATTGCTGATCAGAAACGACCTGCAAGCACCCGTGACATACTGTGGTTGCCAGTCAATGGAATAACCATTATGAACGTGTATCGCCAGCCTTCCTACGACGCCGCGTTGGACATTCTGTTGCGGTGGTCTCCACCTGAGAGATGTCTGGTGGCAGGCGACTTCAACGCGAAACACTACTCCTGGCAGACTGGGAGGCTGGCGGGCCGCGGGGACGACATCGCCGCTTGGGCGGCCGAGAGCGGTCTTGGCCTCTTGAATACCGCTGATGTACCCACAAACCCCCATGGCAACACAATCGACCTCGCGTTTTCCAACATCGACCTGGCCTCCGCAGTAGTTGAGGATCACCTCGCCACGAGCTCCGACCATTTCACTTTAAGTCTTTACAATCCCAAATGTCACCCTGGCGCCTACCGGAACGCCAGGCAAGGTGCGAGTAACCAGCGAAGAGGAGCTGCAACGCTTCAAGGAACTCGTCGAGGCAGGTGTCTGTAGACTCCCGGCCGCAGCCACAACAGCCTCGGAGCTGGAACACTAGCTGAATCGCCCGTCAATCTTCTCCATCGGCTGCCAAGGCAGCGGGACGACCTGTACGGAAGGGAACGCGAAGCGCCCCTTGGTGGACCGACGAATGTGCTGAGTCCGCAGCAGAGTACCGCGCCGTACGAAGGATCTTCCCTATGGGCTTCAACGAGGAGGTGCAAGCAGCAAGAAAAGCGTTCCAGAATGTGGTCCGTCGGACCAAACGTCAGTACTGGCGCAACTTGATAGCCAGCTTCTCGGACAGTGCAGCGGTGTACAAAGCAGTTCACTGGCTCAAGTCACCCAACCGCCGCCGCTCCAAATTGACGGCGTAGTGTACGAAACACAAATGGATAAAGCGAACGCTCTGAGACGGAGTACGCTGGAACGCCGCACGGCAGCAGACGACATCGACGACCCGTGGATCCAGTTTGTCCGCCGCGTCAAATACCATTTGCTGCTGGGATCACTCTCGCGGAGGCAGAAGATGCTATCACCAAGACTGGCAACACCTCGCCAGGGGCAGACAACATCACCATCAAGACGCTGCGAACAGTTTAGGACATCATTGGAGAACACGTCCGCCGGCTCTACGAAGGTTGCTTGGTGGTCGGGCATCACCCACAAGCATTCTGTGAGGCAGAAGTCGTCATGATCACTAAGGCGGGAAAAGGGGACCTGAGTACGCCCAGGGCCTAGCGCCCAATTTCTTTGCTATCCCGCCTGGGGAAAGGACTTGAGCGCCTCCTCGCACGCCGCCTGGCATGGGCCACAGTCCACTACGAATTGCTTCATCCACAGCAAGCCGGTGCGTTGCCGAAGCGATGGGCTGTCGACCTGGTCGCTGCGCTGGTCCACGACATTGAGGAAGCATTTGCACATAAGCAAGTAGTCACACTGGTGACCGCGGACATCCAAGGAGCGTTTGACTCGGCACTGTACAACAGACTCGTACTACGGCTCCGTGAGCAGGGTTGGCCAGACAATGTGGCACGCAGTGCGGCCTTCCACAGGGCTCTACGGTATCTCCGATCCTATTTTTGCTTTACACGGAGCCGATCTACCGGCTGGGCAAACCCGAGGGACGGTTCGGTTATGCGGATGACACTGCCATCCTCTGCATGGGAGAGAGCTTGCAAAAAACGGCAAGAAAAGCAACGGAATGTCCGGAGGAGCTAGTTGCGTGGGGTGCTGCCAACGGCATCACCTTCGACCCCGACAAGACAGAGGTCAAGCATTTCTCTCCCAAGTCTCACAGAACACCCCAGCCGTGCGACATGGCGGCACGAAGTACCCGGAAAAAGCGATGCGGTGGCTGGGCCTCTGGCTAGACGAAAAGCTGACGTTCAAGACCCAGGTTGAGAAATGGACAGCGAAAGCCCAAGCTGTTGCATACCACCTCCGAAGCCTAGGGAATACTCGGCGTGGCCCCTTGCCGAGCGCAACACAGAGAGCTGTGAGAGCTTGTGTCTAACCAGTCTTACTGTTCGGAACTGAGGCGTGGTATCCAGGCATGACATGCCCGCGTTGGCGACAGCGGACAAGCCCAGATCCTCCAGGGTCAAATACCTACTGAACAGAATGAATAAAGTCCTGAAACAAGCCATCCGAGCCATTCTGCCGACTTGGAGAACGACGCCAGTCGATATCCTGCACCGAGAAAGCGGCATACCGCCGGTTGCCCGGCTTCTTGAAGCGAGACAAATCAGATTCTTGGCACGCATAAAGTCTCTGGACCCTGCACACCCTTTAGTCAAGCGCACCATCGAGGCAGAGCCACTGCCCATCGTCAAGGGCATCAAGTTGAAGTACCAGCTACCTGAAAAGCCGTTCCCAACGAGACTAAGGAGGACGAACAACCTGCTACCACGATGCCAGCGCCCAGTCCTTCTTCCACGCAAGTATGTCAATGAGCCATTGCCGCCTCTTCAAACCGCAGCAAAGGAAGAGGCCGCGGAGGAGTTTAACGCATGGCTTGAATCTGTCTCGCCCCTCACCGTCATTGTGTATTCAGACGGCTCTCTTTCCGAGAAAGGTGCCGCTGGATATGGCTTCACTATTTACCAGAACGGACGTTCCTTACACCAGGGCGCGGGACGCCTTGGCCCCGCTGAGGTGTTCGACGCCGAGGCCAGAAGAGCACTGGAAGGGCTGGAAGCTGCACTCAGACTGCCGCAATCCGCCTCGCAAAAGATAGTCGTGTGCCTTGACAACATCGCAGCCGCCAGATGCCTCCGAGGACAACCTTCTGACTCATCGCAGAAGGCCTTTCTCGCCTTCCAAGCCCCCTGCAAAGAGACACAGACCGACAGACATCCGCTGGATACCCGGGCACAGCAATATTACAGGGAACGAGCAAGCTGATATACTCGCGAAGGTAGGATATACGCATCCAGAACCCGTGAATGCAACCTCGACCTGGCCTTCCTGCGTAGAAGCACGAAACGGCGGTGCAAAGACGTATCTCGCGCCTAGTGGAACGAAACTGCTCCTGACAAGTACTTATCTCTCAACCTGGACTTCCCAAACCGCTGCCCTCCAGAGCTAGACCTCCCCCGGCCAGTGCCTCATCACCTCCTTGCTGCCAGAAAAGACCATGGTGATTTTGCCGACTACCACGAAAGGTTTGGCCATGACGACGTAAAGCTGATATGTTCCTGCGGCTGGCGCAAGTCCCCGACATATCTCTTCTACTGCAGAAAGGTCGATAAAGGTCGATCCATGCCACCGGATGAGGCTGGCACCCTCGCCGGCAGTAGCGATCAACCATGCAGTAGGCAGAGACTTTGAAAAGTTTGTCAAACTAGCCCAAAGTAGTTCCTTCTTTGAGAAGATTTGCCCACGTCTGTAACGTGATCCTGACCTACAGAACTGCCGTGCTCCCCTTTTCTTTTGTCTAATTTTCTCTTTCCGGCAGCGGTAGACGGAAGGTGGCCTCAAGCACCTTTTGTCCGCGCGCATGTCATCTATGACTGCTGTGGCAGTCATAGCGAAACTCTTCAATCTGTGTCGTAACATCTGAACATCCCGCTTACGGGAACAGATTTGCTTGTAAGCGCCTTCGAGCTGTCACAATGTTAGATAGTGCTCTGTTTATATTGGTATGTGTGCTTCGCGACACGACAGATTTTGTAAATTAACACTAGCCTAGTACGTCCTGTGCCCCGCGTAGGGGACCGGAGCAGCCAATGGCCGCTGGACGGAAAATACACTCACTCACTCACTCACTCTAGCCGCCGAGTCCGATTTCGCGTCTGTTTTATTATTCTGTTTTATTAAATACTTTTCGCCCAAGAATAATCGTTTTTGCATGGGGGTTGAATATGCCTTTTGTATGGGATTATGCGGTGTTCCACTCGTCGTGCTGTTCCACTCGCTATGCACCTACGTGACACTTTTGGATAACTACTCGTGCCTAAAGTGGGGGCGTGGCACGAGTAGTGTTTCTCCCCGGACCTCTGTTAGATTTCACGATGCCTACTTGAATTACCACCGGGGTTAGGCCCGTTATTGAGGTCAAAAATTGATGGATTGTATTCATTGATGCTTGTATCTTCTGTGTGTTGTTGTCGGGCGGGGAGACTTTGTCTCCCCTGCCAGGTTGCACCGCCACACGCCACTATTGCTATAGCCGACTCTTCATTTTAGTGTTAGATTGGTGCTGGGGAGTGAATTAACGAGGTCTAGTCGACTAATGAAGACATACCCTGGCTATTACAATAGATACTGTGGCTGAAGCAAATATCAAGGGTTGGGCTGCAGCCCAAACCCGCTCCAACAACAACACAAGAACACAAGATTGAATCAATAAGATTACGAATTAATCGTTACATAACCCATCGTGAATCTGAATAGCCCCGGTGTATCTAACAATTAAGAGTCTCAGTACGCTTTCGAGTCGATCGTGCTTATACGAAAAGATACACAATGACAAACAATAATGCATCACAGAGGAAGGTGCTGTTGCAGACCTTCGAGGATTGGGCACGATGGGATGAAGAGTTTCAGACAAAGGCTATCAGCCTACACTTATGGGGCTATATTGACCCAGATAGTGGCCTTTTAATGATGGAAAGGCCAGAAAGACCCCTTATAGGGTCCTGCCACAGAAGGATTCCCGCTAGAATCTTGGATCCAGAATACCTGGCCCAGTCTGGAAGACAGACCCGCCAAGGTGGGCAATCAAGCCAAACTGTCAGCCAGTCGCCATCGGGAGAACCTATGGTTATGCTTCCAGAGACGACGGACCCTGCTCATCGCGCTCGTAGCCTTTCTGAATTGACTGGCGTCATTCACATTCGAGTGGAAGATGTATAAGCAAGATTACAGAGAATACAAAGAACAAGAGGCCAACTGTGAGAAGTTGAAGGCTTGGGTGACTGACACAGTGGACTACGGGCTGCGTCAGAGCTCGTGCCGTGCCGTGTGGGACTTGCGGACATGGTACGCAAACCTTAGGACAAGTGTGGGTGCAACAAGCTGCTGCCAGAAGGAAGTACCAGTCGGCTACGGCTGCTCTCACTAAAGTCCCGAAGGACTTTGCAGGCTGGATTACGACGTGGGAAATGGCCACCAACCTTGCTCTGGTTAGAAAAACCGGAGGGGTGGAAGACCCAAACATTTGGTTTGATGACTTGACGAAAGCAGTCCAACCTGTCCTAGGTAACTGGACTACCATCTATGCAGGCATATACAAGGATAAATTGGAAGATAAAACATTGACGATAGGGGAGGCTGCAAAGGATCTGCGGAAAGAAGCAGAGAGACGGAATATCCTACATGCTGGGGAGAAAGGCTCCAAAGTCATGAAAGGAGCATTTGGTCCAACTCTGGCTGGAGAGCCGGGGCCTTCCTCACCGTCGAGCCGCGGGGCCGTCCTCACCGCAGGACGGTAATCGCAAGCGGAAGCCAAAGGATGCCCAATCGTCAAGGCGAAAAAGGGCAGCTACCCTGAATGAGTCTGATGATTTGTGCAAGGCATGTGACGGTGGTCATCAGCTAGCGAAGTGTTACTACGCGTTCCCAAAGTTGGCACCCGAACACTTCAAAGAAAGGAAGCTCGTACGCGACGCTTTTGAGTATCGGGTCAGAAATGATTCTAGTCTGAGAGATGAGGTGGACCGCATTAACAAAGCCAACCTCATCCAAGAACATGACTGACATGGGAGAGGTGTTGGAGAGTATACGGCGAGCTTTGTTATCCAATCAATCCGCTGTGCATTCTCTACCACCAACTATCCGCTTAAGGACTCAGCTCTGCTAGACTCAGCAGCAACCATCCACATCTTCAACAATATTGATCGATTCAGTAGATTCCGACACGCCGGTCCAGATGATTTTGTTTTCGCCGGGGAACAACGAGTCCCCATCCATGGATATGGCAATGTTGTAATCTGCACACAAGGTCCTCGAGGTCGAGGCTTTATTGACCTCTTTGATGTTGCACTTTGCGAAAACTTCCCGTGCAACCTTGTATCACTACGGCAACTTCAGAAACGTGGCTACTGGTGGGATAATCGCCCTGGCTTTAATTGCCTGAGATCCAGAGGCAACACCGTCATCTGCTACATTGTTGACCGATACGATCAATTCGTGATAGAAGACGGACCCTCAGGAGCTGTAAGAAGTGCATTCGTGTCTCAACGGCATCAATATAACTCCTGGACAAGGAGGAAGGCAAGCAAGGCAGACGCACGAAAGTGGCATCTAAGACTTGGACACCCTGGTCCCCAGGCCTTGGAACATCTCGTCAACACTTCGCGAGATGTTCGAATCAAGGGACCAACAACTACCGAGTGCGATGACTGTGCCGTGTCTAAAATAAAACGGCAAATACGTCGGCAGCCACGAGATGTGGGCAATGACCCCGCACAACGCATAGCTATTGACTTTCACGACATTGAAGTGACTCACGATGGAACGAACTGCGTGATGCTCGCCACTGACCGATGGTCCGGATTTATATGGGATTATTATCTATTTACTCGCACATTCGGGGAGATATTGGATGCATTAAAGCATCTCCTTGGACATCTGGAGCGACAGTATCAGATCAAGCCCAGAGTAGTAGAGTGCGATAATGAGATTATGGGCAATAGTGTGTTTATGAGGAATAGGACCGCCACTCTAGACTTCCTTCGCGCGCAGAACATTATAGTTGAGAACAGTGCCGTGCATACTCCTGCACAGAATGGAGGCGCCGAGGTGTCTGGGAGTATCATCAAGACGAAAGCCCGAGCAATGCGAGCAGGCGCAAAACTCCCACAATATTTATGGGTCGAGATATATCGTTGCGCAGTATATCTATACAACCGAACCCCGAAATACATATATAATTGGCGCACCCCGTATGAGAGATTACACACCATTGTGGCACGCAGAGATGGCGTGATTACCGAAGGTAGAAAGCCCTACCAAGCGCATCTGCGGGTCTATGGGTGCAAAGCGTTTGCCATGACGCCGGATGCCTTGGCAAGGAGGAATAAACGACAGAGATTGAACCCCAGAGCCTGGATCGGTTACCTTGTCGGCTATCAATCCACAAACATCTATCGAGTCTGGAATCCCAAGACTGGGAGGGTTATTTCTACTAGGGACGTGATATTCAATGAAGACGAGACGTTTAGCGGCAGTCTTGAGCAACTGAAGGATGACCTATTGCATATCAGTCGCAACGAGCTGAATCACTTACTCAACCAGGCCGAAGAGTCGCAAACTGACCGTAACACCACGGCAGAAGAAGACCAAACTGGGGTCTCGATACCCCATGATGATTGGGAGGGCCTTCGCGGAGAAGACGAGGATGTCGGAGCCCAGCTCAGTTGGGAAGACCCCGCACTCCGAGAAGGAACAGCAAATGCAGGAACTGAAGGATCAGAGGTTGTGCCTGATCAGCCAGCCGGTGCTGAGAACAGTTCTGGAAATTCCGGGAGCGCGGAAGCCGATCGAGAAGTACCAGAAGGCACGGATGACCAGCTTCAAGCTGATGCCGATGACCACCAACCTAAGGATTCTGATGCTCGATCTAGGCCGTACCCGACCCCTGTGTCGCTGCCGCCAACGGCACTTTTAGCCATGTCAGTACGTGAAGGTGTCTGTGCGACACATGACGAAAAGTTCAAGCATGACGCTGCAAAGGAACCAATCGAAGTATGGAAGACCGCCTTTGTTGCAGGACGCCAAGCTACCCCGATTGGAATTCTTGCAGACAAGGTAATAGACAAAGCAAAGTTGCATCGACTAATGAAGAACCCCTTTAATCTACACAGGCGAGAGATGCCCCCACTGCCACGAAGTCACAGAGACTTGGCCGGTCATCCCATGGGGTCTCTCTTTGAAACCGCTGAGAAAGAGCATCTTCGAAGCCACCAAGAGATGCAGTCTTGGATAGAGGTTCCAAAAGGTGATGCTCGGGCTCGGGGCAAACCCATATTCGATTGCATGTGGGTTTATGTCTATAAGTTCGATAAGCACGGACGCTTTCAGAAGTGCAAGGCACGCTTAGTCGTTAGAGTCATCCGCCGCCGTGCAGCGTTCAAGAGTGCTGCGTCTCAGCGCATTCGCTTTATCCAGCTGGGTTTCGTGTACAACGTCAACAATTTGAAGCGGTGGAGGCTGGAAAGCCCCTGGTGATTTGAGCCACCGGACTGCCTTGTAGACCGATGCGCTATCCGAGAAGCCGTCGATGAGGTTGCGCCAGTACTGCCGTTTGGCACGGCGGACGACACGCTGGAACTCTCTTCTCGCTAGTTGGACTTCCTGACTGAATCCTAAAGGGAGAATTCCTCGTATGGCGCGGTACTCCGCGGCGGCTTCGGCGCACTCGTCGGTCCACCACGGCGCACTTCGCGTTCCTTTCCGTACGGGGCGACCGGCAGCTCTGGCAGCCGACTGGAGGAGGTCAACAAGCGCCGCGGCAAGTGTGTCAAGCTGCGAGGCTGTTGCCGTGTCTGTTGGTATTCGACAAGCTCCAGCGGCAACGAGTTCCTTGAAGCCTTTCAGCTCCTCTTCAGTCGTGACACGCACTTTGCCCAGCGCCTGTGGCAGGCTCCGGCTAACATCGGGAAGTATGAGACTTAGAGTGAAGTGGTCAGAGCTCGTGGCGAGACGGTCTTCCACAACCGCGGATGCCAAAGTGATGTTGAAGAAAGCCAAGTCGATTGTGTTGCCATGCGGGTTTGTCGGCACGTCCGCCGTGTTCAACAGATTCAGGCCGTTTTCCGCTGCCCAGGTGGCAATGTCGTCTCCACGGCCCTCCAGTCGTCCGGTTTGCCAGGAGTAATGCTTAGCATTGAAGTCACCAGCCACAAGGGTCCTTTCTGGTGCCGGCCACCGCAGCAGGACGTCTAGGGAGACGTCATAGCGCGGTTGGCGATAGAAGTTGACGATTGTGACGCCGTTCACCGTAAGTCACAGTATGTCTCGGGCGAGTGTCGGTCGTTTCTGTTGCGAAAATGCGTGAGTCCTTACGGATGTATGTCATGACCCTCGGCCGCGTGCCATTGCTATCCCAGCTGTCTAGGGGCGAACAGGTGTCGTAGGCTGGGTGAGTCTTGGTGAGGCATCTTGAGTTCTTTGCCTCCGTCCAGGGTTCTTGGAGAAGGACGATGTCATATTTTTCGGAGTCGGCCAGTGCCAGGGCGCAATCGTGGGCCGGCGGGATTTTGCCCACATTCGTTTGAGTGCGTTCTTGTCGGAATTGTGTACTCTTGGCCGCCGACTCATGTAGAAGACGGGTTGGTATTGGCACGGCGCCGCTTAGGTGATGTCGACAGAGGACATCTCGGCGCCGCTTCCGGTCCGAGTTCCACGGCCCTGGGGCGCATCGGGGACGACGATGGCAGGACTGGGTTCCACGGCCCTGGGGCGCATCGGGGACGACGACGGCAGAACTGGTAGGGTGCAGGTGAAGAAGTTGGTCAAGGCTTGGGGGTTGACATGTTCCTGAGGCAGCTCCATGACTGCCACTGCAGCACGCTGTTGTTCTGCGACGGCCTCTAATGCTGGCTGGCTGTTAGGTTCCGTCTGAGATTGCTGTCGCCGCTGTGCAGCCTGGCGTTGTTGAAAGAGGCGAGAACCCATCTGTCTGATCATTGCTCCTTGTTCTCTGGGGACGAGCAAGCCATGGTCTCTCTTTGGCCGCGCCGGGCATGCCGCTTGGTCCGCGGCATGTGGTCCGAGGCAGTTGGCACACTGCTCGGGGGGCAGTGCAACTGTCACTGGCGTGGTTTGTCTTTCCGCAGCGTTTGCATCGTGTTTGTCTATTGCACGCATGTCGTGTGTGGTAGTCCCAGCAGTTCTCGCACTGCCTGGGAGGGTTGGTTCTTTCGATGTATCTGGCTAATATCGGCTGGTGCCAAATAGACTCCAAGGTCTTTTTGTCGGTTCAAGGAAGGAGATGATGAGTGTCTTGTAGGGAAGCTGTTCGTTGTCACGGCGAGGGACTCGGATGCTGACCGGCGTGAGTCCCGTCTGGTTGTTTATTTCGTCACGGACGGCAGCGTCGTAGTTCAGTTCGTTTCCGTAAAGGTCGGTAAGTCTTCGAGGGCAGTTGTCTACGGCATAAGTGTACCATTTCTGGCTGGTCTCAACGGCCGTTGCGCCGAGATCATCGGCCTATTCGGCTTGGCGTTCTACAAGCAGATCGCGGGTGAGTTTGTCTGCGGCGCGAATGGCCCATCCGGTGTTCACTTGGAAGACTTGCGGGATTCGATTGAGCTCAAGGCCCGTCTTGCTGGCTACATGAGCTCGGATGGCGTAGCCGATGTGGTTTCTGGCCGGAGCGTCGGCTTCAATCAAGGCGGACGAAGACCCGGAGGTCTTCTCGAGGTGGCGCGGGCACTGGTGGTCGTTGCCCTTGGCGATGAGTGGCAGCAGGTTTGTGTTATGGGTGGGCAGTGTTTGTGGTGGGCAGTGTTTGTGGTGGCCAACCGAGTCGGAGAGGCAGTGGCATTGGCGGCAATGCTGCTATTGGTTGGTGTAGATGCACAATCGGTGTTGGCCAGAGTTTGTTTCCAAAATTCGAGGAAGCTACTGGAGAAGTGCTTGGCGAAGTCGCGTTCCGGCCCGGTAGTAAATTACTTGGCCGCCTCGGCCGGCCCAGTAGTAAATTCCTTGGCGGCCTCGTTGAAGTGTTCGGAAGACCCTGAGTTTGGCGTCGTAGGCGGCTGGTCATGTGTGACCGTTGTAGCCAGTGCAGGGAATTGAGTGGCGACGAGGGTGTGTGGGCCGTCCTTCCGCGTGCAGGTGAAACGCCAATGTCGGTGATCTCCACGGGGGAGCTGTCTCGGAGGAGGGCTGCGCGGCGCGACAATTACTGATCCGTACGTTTCAGTTTGAGATTGTTTGGTCGGTCTTCAGTAGCCGATGTCTTATGAGGCTTGAACAATGCGTTCACGGTGCAAAACGAGTCGCATATCCCGAAAGGTCGAGCTATCTCCTTCCAAGAAAGAACAATACTTTCGAAGTAGTTGGGCGTTATTTGGGAGACTTCGCGAACGACATCTATCAGGATATAAACATCTGCCGTCCGGTTCTGAACATTGGAGACTCTGATTAGCTTTAAAGGCCTGAGCCGCCCGCACTTTCCGTCGTCGACAGGCGAGGATCCTCGGAACTGGAAACCATCGTGGGGCAGCTGACTGAATCGGTGCAGGTGGTTTCGGGTGAATTGTTTTAAGCCTGTTTCACTCGAACGTCGCAAAGTGGTTTGCGGTCAGTGCCCCCAAGCTCCACCCACAATCCGATCGCACATTTTCTTAGCCGGTAAGACCACTTCGCGCAGCCTCCCACCGCTTCAAGTCCAGCCCAGTCTCGCTATCGACGAGTATCGTTACGATGAAGAAACCGCAAAGAATGCCCATGAGCGACTGAGAGTCTCCGATGACGTTGGATATGGCGCGGAGAGTGGTTGTTATCTCCATCAACCTGGGCTCGATCAGCCGGATCCTTTGATATGATATCCATAGGCAAGCTAAACATTAAGAGCGGAGACTATGCCTTTTGTTACAAGTTCTTCGTCATATATTTCAAAGGCAAAGGCGGAAGGCGGAAGGCGGAAGGCTTTGAACTCGTCGACCTTGTACTGATCCAAGTTCAGTAGAGATTCGAAACGGCGATTCGCTTACGATTGAGTTTGAGCGAGTCCGGAAGCCTCGCTTCGTTGGGTCGGCTTAGTCGCTTCAAAATCATGCCACACCTTGACCTCCTTGCACCTCCGTTGCGCATCGATCAGGTCCACGATGTTGACAAGCGTGTTCTTCAAATGCTTCTTGCATTCTGATACGGAGTGGCTTGGAGGTACACAGACCCCACGGCATAGAGCCTGGTATCCCTCGAGTTTCTCTTCCTCTGATTGGAGTTCCTTGCGCATCGCAATGGTGCGCTCCTGTGTCTACTGTTGGGAGCCAGTCCCGAGTAGCAGCAGGCATCCCAGGATAGGATGCCCTGGGTGGCCTGGTGACTACCAACAGGGAGACCAGGGTCTGTTCGCCACCAAGTCGATACCGCGTCAAAGCATCGGTGGGTCCCAGTATTGTCGTTGACGGAGCTGGACTTCTACACTCACTACTCAACTCGTGCCACAGCGCATGACAGACATAAAACCCGACATAATATACGCCTATGCGATGCTGGCTACTCCGTCGACCCGCCTTTGAGACGTTCCTTAGTCTCAAGAGTGTTGCCATTCTAGAAGCTTGGTACAGATTGTGTGGCATGTACTTTGACAGGCAAGTGCGCTGGTTGGAGATCGTAAATTCGACGGTGTACTCACTCAGTCAATGACTATCACACGGCGTGCCACAATATCCGCAACGCCGACCAGGAATAACCCACACTTCCTTCCCGCCAAGAGCGCAAGTTGGGCATCTAGTACCAGGAATCTAAGCCAGTAGTTAGTCATGTGCTCTGCCGCAAAAGGAAAAGACATTTGGGCCACTAGTCCCCCGAACCTTAGGTCCGTAGCTGATAAATCTGTCCATGCCAACAGGCTCTGATGCCGTTGTGGCATTGCCAAGGGCATTCCTGACCCGTAAAGGCATCGAAATGGGCCTGGTCAAAGTAAATTGAGGACTTTGTGCAGCAGTGAAAGGTCTTGTGAGAGGCCGAAGCGGTGGGATGAAAAGAGAATATTAGAGTGTCACGGAAGGGCAGGACAATTGTTGAGCGTCTCCAGCTTCCCGTATTCTCGAACTCGACCCTGTTAGACCAGTGGACTGAGGACTCGCGTGCATGGCAGCCGTTTTTAGGTGGTACCCCTGAAAGACGGCGACGAAAACGATCGCGCCGGATCTTAAATGTCTTGGCCACCGCCCTCTGCTTGGCCTTGGATTGTTTCCGAGGTATTGAACAGCTTCCTCAGCACGTAAGTCAATATTACGAATGGTGTAGTTATATTATGTATCTCCCATATCTCGCCCCCCCCCAAAGCTGTTGTCGATTGCCTGCACGGTTATCGGCCCCACACCTTGCCGCGACGTGAATCAAGACAGGGGGAACGCGTCTAGGACTGATATATCAAGCAACACACTCTCTTCAAATCAACTTTCGACAAGATCACCACTCTGCTTTCGCTCACGCCTCTGACTCCTCGCACTCTCAACACGTCAACCTGCGCTACGAACGAGCATTACTAGCTAGCAGCAGACATCTCAGCCTGCCCCGCGTCTAGCCTCCGCGCAATACCTCATATCCTCCCAGTCAATGATAGCGTTTCTGTACCACGATGCCTCGAACAACTACGGCTGCGTCTCGCCCGGAGCCTGTTGCTCTGGCTCCTAATGCTGGGCGTGGACCCCCCGCCCTAACTACTAGTGGTGCAAAAAGCACCGTCGTTCCTATTAAGGATGCTGATGGCAAGTATCCTTGCCCTCATTGCACCAAGTCCTACCTCCATGCCAAGCACTTGAAGCGCCATCTCCTTCGCCGTAAGTCCCATCCTGAGCCTCTTATCCCTTGCAGACGGGCGGGCCGCTTGTACCTTGTCTTGCCACGCAACTCGTATAGACTAACTAGTTCCCTGCGTAGATACTGGTGATCGCCCTTATGCGTGTGTGCTTTGCCAAGATACCTTTTCTAGAAGTGATATTTTGAAGCGCCACTTCCAAAAGTGCTCCATTCGCCGTGGAAATCCCAACGGAGTGAGCCACTTGTCCCACCCTCAGGCTCATGCTATGAATCATGCTCGGGCTGGGAAGGCTGGTGGTCTCGACAAGGAGGATGACAAGAACCACTTTCATGGGTTGAACAACATGCCCTCCGACTGCCTGGCTTATCCTTTTGACATGCCCCCCTTTTCTGACGGCATAAAAAACGAGACCAGTGACAAAAATTATGCTTCTCGTTCCGCCGGCGACAACCCTGACCCAAATGACAATGCCCCTAACATGGGTGTGCCTCAGCCCTATGGGCTCATGTTCTTAACTCCATAAATAATGTGCGGATGCCTAGTTACCGCCTAGTCCGGGCCTAGAGCGGAATGCCATGCTGTCGGATAAGGTTGCCTCTGTTGATTGAACAGCACGCCTCTCACCTGCGGCGCAAATCTGTCCCGTCCGTTAACACTGTTTAGCATCGTTTTTATCCATGGCCTGATGGGTCATCGCACGAAGACGTGGATCAAGAACGATGTTCAGTGGCCTGATGAGCTACTGGTCCCTGCCGAGAATCGCGTCGACGCTATTTCCAATTCTTTTTTTTTTTCCTCAACTGTTAAACAATAGGTCAGCGGCTGATGCTGTATGTTATAAAGACGGCGCATAATGAGCACAAGCAGAGACTTCTACGGGCCACAAAAAATAGGTAGACTGGGCTCCATATGCCGTTAATACTTCTTCGTGGGTATTTCGTAACTGGCGTTTGAAGTTTAGTTGAACGGATCCTTCCCTGCAACATGGATCTTTTCATGGTAGATAAGGGACAATTCGTCGCTGTTAAAATAAATTAAGCTCGAGGGTCTTACTTCCTACCTTTGCTCTTCTCAGGCCTCACAATGTGAACGATCCAGGAGAATCACCTCGGCGTAACCACGTCTAGGGCAAAACTTAGTGGCAGGAACCAGCATGCTGCAGCTACTGGGGCGTCAGAGTAAAAAGACCAAATTTAGGTCCAAGAAGATGAAGATCTGAATCCGGAGTTTGCTCCTGATTTGAACCATCTTATCCGAGGATCGCTTTATTTGGCTACAGAACTCGTGCAGACGAAAAGATTAGGAAGGAATACAATGACGGAACACATTCAACAACAACGCAAGGCTATGAAGAACAGGCAGTTGCAATCAGGAGGAGTTTTGGCAGTTGCTGAAGGGCGAGAATGGTAGAGAAAAGGGAAGATCAGGTAGCTAGAGCTCCCTGGTCCTGGTTAAGGATGGTTAAAAGAGGCATGGACACTGGACACCTCCCAGCTCGGAGTACAAACCCCGGCCCGACGCGTGATTGCTGTCCCGTCCAGTGCCACGCGTGATGCGGGCGGCTGGTACACGTGCCCGCAATTGGATATTTCGGCGCCTTCAAATTAAGGGGAGAATTGTTTTTAAACCAGAGGTAGTTGCTGTACGTTTTATATATTGCATTTGTGGCAAAATCTCTTCGTCTAAATTTGTATTCGATGGATACGCCTTTGTTGGCGCGGGTGCGACTGCACAGTACAGTACGCTCCGTACGTCAGAGTGGACAGAAATTGTGAGCAAATTGATGTAACTACCACTAGGCGCCAAAATATTTTCAAGGTTCTGTGTTGATTATTACAGTACTGTAAATACTTACCTCTCACTGAATGGAATTATAAAATTGGAAGACGCACTTAACAGCCTCTGCTAGTAAGAGTGTAACGAGGGACCTGCGGCTCATTTACTATGGTTGATCAGAAGCATTCACTTCCCATCCCTTCGACCCACCTGTACGGAACAGGCACCAAATGTTCTAGTTTAACGTCATGGATCAATGAATGTATGTAGCAGTTCCCTTTTTCATGGAAGTATGGCAAGCTCTACGTCATAGACGGCGACGTTGTTGCGCAGAACGACATTCTCCTTCTTCAGCACGGACAAGGTCGCAGAATTCGACCAACTAAGCCAATCCAACCACCCTCCGCAAAAGGGTTGTCGTGGCCGCATTGGAAAGACGAGTCTTCGAACCGCCAAGTCTCGTTTTGCACCGCTTGCCTCGACTTGCGAGCATCGTGTACTACCTATAAACACTTGAGATCACGGGACTTCCTCAGCTCGGCGTTGAGAACTCATGTAACGTATTTGCTCTCCTGTAGGCACGCATATGAGTCATATGGATCTGTCCATGTTAAAAGACCTTGCACACCAACGCACAAACATGCCTAGTGCAGGATATGTCACACGGACCACTTCTCCAAATGGGGTGTGACTATGGTTCATGTGTTTTACTCCCTCATTCGCCACACAGTTCCGTGAACTCTCCCTAGGAGATCGAGATCAATCATGGAGCAAGTCCGCCAACCGCCTGGAATGGTGCTTTGAGCCCACATTCCTGAAGTAAAAGCTCTTCAACCTTGCGCGCAAAATTTCCATAACGGAGGACTATGCGGGAAGAAATAGGCCTTGCAGTAGAGTTTCCATGCCCAGGCGTGGCGGGTAGGTATTCTGATGTTATGTCCCAATCTTTGATCCTTGCCGACTGCTCTTGTAGCATGAGGACTTCTATCATCACCTAGGGCCTAATGACACAAAGACCGCAACGCACCATGCGTGCTCGAACCTCATCATTATTCCAAACGGCTCAGAAGCTTGCTGCTTCACAGGAACAGAGCGCATGCAGTTGTTCATCGCCATCTGGTGCATTATCCCGCGGGCTCCCTTCGCTGTCGGTGAGCTTCCCTATGCCCACTTATTCGGCTTTTGATATAATCTGTCTAAACAGTCGCCTCGGTTGGGTTGTTTGGGGTCTTTTGGAATCCACATATCAGGTAGCTCAAGCGAACTTCAACTGGTGACGGCGTGCGTACCCTCACATCCAGTCGTGCTAAACACTTTCTGGATCATGTGGAACAAGCCCTGAGCCTCTAAATGCTCCCTTGGTGTGTTTTTCCGTCATTGCAGCTTGGTGTGCGACAAAAAAAAATGCAAGTATGAAGTCCGTCTTAGTGATATGTGTCTGTCGCATAGAATATAGGCTATTATTAGTGCTACTAGAAGAAATTCAATAGACCTATAATTTTGCTCTTTTTGACGCAACAGTTATGAGCCCGGTATGCGCTAGTCGGGAAATGACATCCCTGTGCAACTGAAAGAATGGTATGGTAGTTTATTTCGCCCGGAGGGATCTCCCTAGAGGGTCTCATCTGTGCATCTACTATCGCTCCTTGACAATTGGCCGTGTCTCGCCCAGCCCCACGCTGTCAACTTCCTTTCTTTCTTGCTTGATTGGTGATTATGCTATTCCTTCGCTGCTTGTCGCTTCGTCCATGCGCTCGTGTCCAAAGTGAAGTAAAATCCGTATCCGCATCCGTAGTTTATCTTTCTCTTTGCTCACAAGTACCATGTAGCTCCTCTTCACAATCCCGTTCTCTGGCCAGCTTTTTAACGCGTAGCTGATTCGTCTTGGCTTCGAATGATGGCAAGTCCAAATGGTTGTCATCGCTCGGCCTTGCCTATGATTTCGCTCCTTGTCTGTGTCGCTCCTTGTCTGTTGTGTCACTCTTTGTCCGTCGTTAGATGTTTCTGATTCCGCACTCTTCGTTGCTACCGGCTTTCAATTGTGACGTGGCCGTTCCATGCTTTGTGGTCGCGACGCGCCTGTTGTGCGCCAGCCCAAAGCTCCTGTCCAACTTTGACAAGCTGACAAACCCTTCCTTGCGTCTCTGCTTTAGCTCTGGAAGTGAACGCTTCCAGATTCCCAGAGGATACCGCGTGGAGGTAGCAGAGTCCGTCTTCATCCCCCAATGGTGGTTGTTTTAGTTTGAAAGAATGGGGGCGTAATCTCCTTCACA